CCTCCCGCCCCCTTCCACGTCTTCCAACAATACCCAGAAAGCATTCCGGTATGCACGTTGATACTGTTTAGTTCTTTTGGTTGAAAAGAGAAGGCATTACGCGATACACCTCGCTATGTCTTCTCTCTTTATTCCTACCTTTTCTCATGCCTTCCGCGAATGTTTCGAAGTAGCGGCTTCTCTTCCGTGCATCGTGAAACGGAACACGTATTTTGTTTTAGCCCACCCGTTTGCTTTCGACGATACACGCGCATAGCGGAAGAACCACGTTCTTCTTTTTCAATTCGAGGGACGCTTTGAGTAAAGACAATACTACTAAACAGTTTTCAAAGGTTCCCGTGCCAAGCAAAAACTCGGATCTAAAACAAGCTGTTTACAAACATACGCTTTTCTGCAAAAGCATTAGCTATTTTACCAGTCTTTCATGGTGAGATCTATATATTTTACACTATTTGTCCATAAAATGTCAAAAAATAATTAATATATTCCGTCTAAATTATAAAGTTCCATTTCAAGTATTCTTCGCAAAACGAGTAAATGTACGTTGCACTGAAAATGGTTGAGTTTTGTTATCGCTGTAAGCAAACAATCGCCTTTAGCTATATTTCTCCACGTATAAGATAAACAAAATAAATATTCAAAGGTATAAATATTCATAATAGTAACATTTATCATGATGCGTAAAGAGTTAGCGAATTAATGTTTCCTTTTGAGTTATCATGCGTGATTCAAGATAATAAAATTAAATTTGATGATAAAGTGAAAAACAATATACTATATTATAATTATATTTTGCTTGTGACTTGTAATGGTACATGATGTGCGCAAAAATGCTATAGAAAAAGGAAAAAGTGAGAAAACGCGATGAATGAAGAGATTATTATACTACAAACGACGATAAGACGATTATTTGTAATGGCGAGGCTTATATAGTCTTAGTGCGGTTCTTTTCAAACGCCGTTTTTTTTTTAACGTACGCTTTCCCTTATGGAAATCGTTTCGTTACGCTCACTTAACGGTGAGGTGAAATTGAGCGACTTTCATGTTCCATTGTACGAAAGCGAGCGCGCTTTAATCCGATAAAATAGCTGTAATTTCGAAGAATTGTTCTTCTTCTTCGCAGGCTTTATACGTACGCGAAGAACAAAGGGTGTGTGAGTAAAGATAATAAAGTAATATTCAACCGAATCACTTAGTGAATTGAATATACTTTCCGACCCGAGTAGATGGACGGCGATTTTACAAAATGGCCGGTATACCTTCGCTAGGTACTTCCGAGCGAAATCGCACGAATCTAAATGTTCCAATTCTAATCTCGGCTACTTTTGTCGTTCGCCCACGGCACTTATTCCATCGGATAACGTGAGTAATGCCGATACCGATGGACGTATCACGAAAAATCGATGCATCCAATTTCATGTGCAAATCATAATATCGAGCAACTTATAGCCAGGGGCGATGCGAGATGATTGTAAGCATAAAGGGATCGCATAATACGCGAATCGTAAGATCTTATCGAATAACTTGAGTGTTTTCTATGCAATATTGAATGAATGAAGATAAGATAAAAGCTTAAAGTATTCATAAGTTTACGAAGAAAGGATGACTTTTATCTAGATATCTTATCCTACTAATTATTTTTTTATAGGAACATAATGCTAGTAAAAAATAGTAAAAGAAATATTTTATTTTTTAAATTTAATTTACTATTTAATTCATAAATAGTAAATCTACCTTCCTTCTAAAGGAGAGCCTCTGCCTCATAAAGCAGAAAAATTCTTTTAAAAATTCTTTCTTGATAAGGACCCGAATCCTGGGTTGAAACGTCGTGAAGTTTTTATGTACCTTTGCCAATTGTTGTCGATATAAATATATATTCTTTTGGAAAAATTATTTTATCGAAATAAAATTTTAACAGAGCTTCTCATCGCTTTAAGATTATATGGAAATAAAATGAGATTTTTGAAATGCTTTCAAAAGATTGCGTTTAATTCACGATCATCACTTCTGACAATCTCGTATTCACTCGCCAATCAAAGGCAGACACGAATTGATTATATTGTACGGATCTGAACAAAATGGAAGATTTTAACAACCAGTCTTTGAACTCAGATATGCAACGGTTGCAACTCGAGCAAAACCGTGAGCAAAAATCTTTGATATGTTATTCAAACGACCGCACATAAACGTTCTTTAGATTGCTGAAAGCCAGTCCAATCAATATTTAACACACGATCTTGTTACGCACATGGCGAGTATCCATATCAATTCAATATTGTTTCTTTAGTAAATCTAGTATATACATAAATTTCGCGGAGAATACTTTTAATCAGCCTATAAAGGCCTATATTTCTATAAATTTTTAATAGATCAACATTTTGTCGTTGCTGCAAAAATCAATCTTTTCAAACTATTTTTTATACATGAGACGGGTTTATTACTTTCTAAAGTATCACTCGTCATTATAATGATAAGCAAGCTTATCGTGTGCATGTGAAAAGATTAACTCGTTATTCGATCGATGCAAATACCCGTTGAACTCCTACGAGTGAATTAATTAGTCGTACGAGCACGAGTAGAGTGCGGCTTATGTAACGAACAGCAAAACGAGCATATAATTGATTGATTATAGAGATTTCCGCGTTCGATGACCGAACGACAAAGTCCAGGATGACGCAGTCGACTATCTCTCTTCATCCGATAACCCTTCTTCTTCCATCTTCGTAAACGCATCCTTTGTTCAGGCCGGATTTACCATCGACCAAAAGCCAAACGGTTCAATGAGCACTGTACTTAATTAATGAGAGATTCCTTTCAGCGGCTCAACGAAGGACTTAATTCAGGAACTAGGGGTGCTTTCATCGGCTGATAGAATCGTTTGGGCAAATAGAATCAAACTGTACTAACTGATTTGACTGAGAGAATCAGCGATTACCGCCAGAGCAATGCTGTGATAATATAAATTGTGTATCGTGAAACAAGAGTTGCGGATAAACTGGAGGTTAGTACCGCGGCGAATCATTTGGTATCGCGCTTCTTGATTGAGGCGAAAGATTTCTGACTTGTGCATATTTGATACTACACACGACACGGCATAATTTATTAATATCGAACTAATGAACGTTTCGTGACAGAAGAGTATAAATCCGAAATACATGAGAATTTTTAACGACATCGTATAAAAAGTTTTGCGCCGATTCTGTGTGACGATAGAGGTAAAATGATGGCTGATGGATGTGAAAATATTTAAATATTTAACATGAGTAAAAATAATTTAAAAAAATAGTCCAAGTAGAACGAATGGGTTGTTAACATTTCGAAGTTTGCCGCAATGCTATATCTGACATTCTTCCTACTGTTTCTAAATCTAGACATGGCACTGATTTATTCTGTGTCAGGAGATTTATGAAATCAATCAGATTCTATCTGGCGTAGGTAGCAACTAAAAACGACAAAAATATCACGTGCAACAGCAATGTAGAAAAAATTGATTCTCCGAGCGCTGCATGCATGAATTGATTGCGGGATATTTTCCAGTCCGCACAAAAATAGTCACGGATGGCAGGAGTATTTGATCTGAGCACACGTTATTATCTGACTTGGTCGTCCGCGTACGACATGAACATGATATCACAATAGTGACACTGGCAACGAGGGTTGGCCGTGCACGCAACGAGTAATACATGCAATACCGCACGCACGTGATGTAACAGGATGCAGTGCGTGACCGGCAAGCAGGTCGAGCTTGTAATGGGCAGACCGGGACTTGCGAACCAGTGTCGTGTGCCGCCAGTAATTTCGCTCAAAAGGCACGATCCCCTGCTAATGACGCGGAATTCGCCTTTATCTGCGTATCCATACAATCTGATTCCCATACATTCTTCTCGTGATTGCTTATTCATAATTACAAAAAATTACGACGCATTGATCGTGATGTATCACTTCATGTTTCACGTCATGTTCAGCCGCGAGTAAACATGAGTTACGTTGAGTATAATAATATCAATCAAGAGAAATGAAAATCCACCGCGTACTGCCTAAATAATTATTTTGAGATAATATAAAATTATCGATATACCCAACTATCAATAGCTACATTATCTTTCAATAAATTATCTGTAAAATGAGCAACGGGTTGCTCGATTTATGTAAACTTCGACGTTCAACGAACGTCGTATTATAATCACCGACGCATTGTTCCATGCCGTTTCTCAACTTCCTAATCTAACGCTCTATAAACTTCCATTTTCATACATAATAACATAATTTGTGCAATAACGGCGGACAAAGCTTTATAGTTATATGCTTAAGTAAAGCGGGTTAAGTAGGGTAATATTATTAACGACGAAGTTTATCATTCTCGCTGATGCCGTGCAGAAATACTTGATGGGAGCTCGCAACTCTAAAATACTATTCCTCTCAGTTTATATAGTTTAAAAAAAAACTCACGATTCTCACCTAAAGTAACGCGCGCACATCCTAATTGTTTCTCTTATGGTCGATAAGCGCCAACGTTGATTACAGCAAAAACAAGTCTATCTTGAAGCAACAGTCGTCCTCCCCTCCTCCCCCCCTCTCTCTCTCTCCCTTCGGCGACATGGACGAACACTTCAAATTCTGTCCGTCACGATTCACGATCATAGCCATAATAAGATTAGGCTAATTACGTTTATGCACTTAGGAAAAGCGGATCAGCCAGACTCTATTCGCGCACGCAGAGCGGTTATGTGGCGAGTGGACTCTACTAATCTTGTTGTTTTGTTTGGTTTAGGATGAATTTGCCATTGTGCTGTGAACCGTGCAACGCGTAAGTACATGTTCGCGAATATGCTATTGAATATCAGCTAACGGTAAACAAACAAAGCTGTAGAATAACGATTAATCGACTAAACTCTATGGAGAACAGTCTCGCTTAAAATTAGATTGTAAAACTAGAGTTATATTTGACAAAATATTCTCATTCTTTTCACAGAACATTTCGTCAACATTTTATCACTTACCGCTTCCGTATGCACGGGATGTGCGGCGTATAACAGTCCGGCGAGTGCTGCGAATCCCGGTCGAAGGGCAGCTACCACGAGACTCACTCTGGTGACTAAGACGCACGCAGCGGCGTGTAAGGCGACGTTCGTGGCGTGATACCACATGGGACTCAAACCCACCATCAGGTAGTTCAATCTAAAATTAAAAGAAAATGGAACGTGTATTAGATATTGACAAGTTCCTGTGATATCGGACATCTCTAAAAATATTCCGGGTCAATTTGTAGAAAAATTACGCGGGGTTTTAACCAAATTAGGACAGGGTGAATGACAGATCACAGATAACAAAGAACGATTTCTTAATTTAATAAATTAGGTGAAAGACAAAAACGTAATACCAGATTTATTCCATAAATAATAAAATTTATTTAAAAGATAAACCGACATAAGTTATAAATGATAAAATGACTAAATAATGACGTTTTTTTTTATTGAAATTGGTTAATTGTATCATCATACCGTTATGTTATGCACACTTGTGTGCATCCTACAAGACAATATCATTCATGAAGAAAGCAGAAATGAAGGCGCCTGTATCGTACAAAGCGCAGTTTCTGCATCAAAGAACTCTGCGACACCTACACAAAATCACCCTTACTTGTGAGAAAGGGAACAAATTTCATTGTTACCGGATACAAAGAAACGTCGGAAGATAAATCCTCATCTTTTTGTTTATAAGCACAACGGATTTCAAACGCGGGCGTGACGTAGTTTCCACGAAAATCCGCTTAAGTCAGCCGAAGTAATCGGATTTTAGAAAACCATTCCGACCGTTTCCTTTTCGCCGCAACTAACCAAGGGATGCCGTTTTCTTTGAGCAGATTAAAGTAACTGATGTTATATATATTCGCCCGTTAGCAAAAATAATATCGACTTTTAATGCGCGCGCGCGCGAGAATCGTATATTAAGACATCTTCCATCTCCTCGTCCCATGCATCGAATGATTTCATTAATTGCTGAGAAATTACTCGTCATTGCGAGACAACAGGCGAGACTAAAGAAATGGGACGACGTGAAGAATGTAGAAAAGTGTATATAGATCGTCGTGCCGACATCGAGATGAAAACAAACACCGTAGTTGCTGACGCAGTCGAGCTATAATTTTGGAAGCCTGCCGGCGGCATAAGTTCGACGCCCTCGGAGGACCTGCGCTTGGCTCGTTTCCAGGTGTCAAGGATCATAGGTTGTCGGAGGCGTATCCTGTCTCTTCCTTGGCTCTAGATCAAACAAAAAACGCGCATACGTCGATCGCAGAATAGAGATTGCAGATTTCACCGCAAAGCTTGTTGTGTTACAAACTAGCAGGTATATGCTTATTTTGTTTATTATACAACAAACTAAGACGACGCGGTGCGAACTTACTTTGCGAAACAATCGATTGGATAAGAGTTTTATTAGCTATGCTTAAGTTTCGCTTAAAAATCAACATACGGACCACCGCACTTCCGCTTTTATATCCACTTACTAACAAAGTTTATTGTTTCTCTGCCGCATCCACGGTTTGCAAGTTTCTGATATACGCAACGGTTCGGAGTACAGAGTATGAGGGCTGTATGCTTAGGAGCTTCTTGTTTGTTCTAACTGGTTTCTCCAAGCACGGCGGCGTGCGCCTGCATTCCTGTTACGGAATGAAGTACATCGTATTGCAGCGTCGATATTACGTTATCACACTCGGATATTAAACAGATATTGACATAGTCTTGCTCCAATTAAACGGTTAAATAAACAAAAACAATTATATCGGTACAGTATTTCTTCGATCTGTGTATAAACCGACAAATTATTTCATAAACAACAGGTAAGTTATTTTAACAGCTGGTACCTGTCTTCGATCTGAAAAAACACGGAGATTAATCGCCGTACATTACAAACGTCTCTATTTCCAGCCTCATTCTTCTTCGCTCTTTGCGTATAATCATTTATATTTTTCCCCTGAAGAATTCTGTAACGCAATTTGTCTTCGTCGGCGCAACTTTCTACTCTACGCGAATTTCTCCTCTCATATCTTTTATTCATGTCATCATTGAAGCTCGCTCAGACGCACAAAAGAGAAGTAGTCTGAAAATAATTACAAACTCTCTTTGTCTATGTGCAAACAATGAAAATTATTAACTTCGATGTCTGCTTTTAAAATATCTTATTTCATGCAATAAGATACGTATAAATCTGTATTATATGTATAGTGTAAACAATTGTACACACATACACACTCACACAAAACTCTGTTAGTAATAAAATAACAATAATGAAATTTTCAACAATACTTTTTTTATTTTTTATTATCAATTTGGAAATAATAAAGTATCGATTTTTTTTCTAATCGCGAAGATAATCGGCTTATTCCTACACGACATCCCCTTGAAAAAATACAACAAACCAACTTGACTTTCGTAATTTCTGTACCATATATATCATCCTCTCAATAATTCTAGATCAATTATATTATTATCATATGGATCACATTTTGTCATCATAATAATAATTAATGTAATTCGATATCTTTGTATTATATTAGAATACGTATAATGTATGTAAATATACAATGTAATTTTTTTACGTTATTCTTCTAATGTTTGTTAGAAGCGTGAGAAATATAAAAGAACACTGCGAGTTTATTTCAAAGATAAAAAAAAAAGTTTCTCTACAAAAATATTTTATAATTAATTTTATATATATATATATATATATAATACTTGCATTTTCTAGCTGAAATAACACTGACGACACAACCATCAAAAGTTTCAAAACAGAAGCATATAGTATGACGAAGTAGAACAGTTGCTCGTATCAGACCGCAGCGGGACCTGATACTAACTGTCTGACCGCAGGTACGCTCTTACTACTGGCTAACCACGACCGGTTCTATTACGACTGTTTGACCACACCGGCCCGTAACTACTGGCCAGCCGCAGAGCGCGATCAATACTTATCCCCGCCGTTCCGTCATTATCACTTTTGCGTTTGTGTTTCGGAACGAAACGAACAGCTAAATGAAGGGCTTTAATCATGGAAAGACCTCTGAAATCGGACACTCGTTTCCTAGGAATAACGCATCTCCGCGCCCGTGGAGATCATCTCGCGCATAGAGATTCGTGTTGCACGAGTCGCGCGGCCAAGATCCACTATCCTGAAAAGAAAATCTTGGCCAAGTTCTGGCACGTAGTTAACTAATGAAGTTTAGCTCGTCGCTGTAAAGATGAATCGCCCGGTGAGCTTTTCGAGGAAATGTTGGGCCTCAAAGGATCCTTTAAAGACGTCACATCGCAAAAAGTCGAGAGATCGGACTCTTCGTAACGAGGTATTAAAATCTTGAACGATGTCGTTAAATCACGTTGGCTTAGTTTACCTCCCCACTACATCGCCGTAGAGAGACCGACCGTTTCATCTTTTCGTCTCGTTAGTATCCTCTTCCGCTTTCACGCAAGAGAGATATAGCTGTCCGTATATATCGAAAAGTACTATCGTTATTAAATCTGCATAGAAATATGTCAACCGCATAAAAAAGAGGAAGATTAAAAGAGGATATTTATCAATTGGCTATTGTTATTTTTATGCAGCACGAAATATATTTTAGATTTTAATATTCCTCCTTTGCGTTTCTCAGAATAGAAAATTTCTTTAACCTTTTATGGAATGTCGAGGTAATGCACGAGGAAATATTTTCGCGCGATTTTCTCTGACAGTCACGCACGTATTTCGAGTCTCGTTTCCTTTCCGATGGCGATATTGGGTTCTAACTTTGTAGGGGACTATCGTTTGCAGCCACAAGACAAAGGCACGATGATAGAGCATCGTAGAAACGCCATTCGGGCTCAATCGTGCGCGGAATATAGCAGCCAAGATACCGATTTCGACTCTCCAGTGCCGCTTCAGTGATTTAAGGGACTAGCTAACCCGTACTTCCAGTCACGTTCTTCCCGGGAAAGTGTCCAACGAAATAAATCACGAGCACGTCGGGACTTCGATCTTTGTTGTGCGCGCGAAGAAATTCGGAGGACACGTTAGGAGGCATCGATCGATATTCGTAAAATACTGCTCACTTCTAACACGTGTTTTTATGTTCAAGGAATACGTTTATATATTCTTTTGCAATACATTCTTATATTCTTTTATTTATATTCTATTCTTTATTTTCTTCTTATAAGCGTGAGTTTTTATGTTTGCTATTATTTTCTTCCTTATCTCGTTTTCTGTTCTAACTTTCGAAGTTATGATTGTCGCAAGAATATAATATGGCAATCTGAAAGATTGCGAGTAGTGATTGGCAAGAGATCATCATTGACGATTAATTATCTCCTACTTGGTTTCCTTCGACCTTATTCGGTTTCTTCCCTGTACCTTTTTCATTCTTATACAAGCAACCCACTTACACGCAGTCACGCAGTCAGATCTGATAATAGCATGAATTACGACCGCTTATACACCTTGAGTGGCGCTATATATCAACGGACGGGACTCATTTCTTTTCCAGATTGTATATCGAAAAATATGGTGTGTTCACATCGAATATGATGAAGGAATTTCTGCGCAAGATCATGCAGCAGGTACCTAGCTAATATCTTGTAATCATTAAGCCGCACATCCCTGTCCAGATTGCATCTCAAAATTACTATCGATCGTGACTCTGCAAGCTATTCCTTGAATTATATATATATATATATATATATATATATATATATATATGTGTGTGTATGTATGTATATGAATACACATATGTGATATACATATATGATAAACATAGATAAATTATATTTATGTCTCTATTATGTTACATTATACATATAGGGTAAATTCGGGTAAGATGGCCATAGAGGAAAGATGGCCAACATATGTTCTTTCAATCTAGCTCGTCGTGAAACATCGAATGAACATGTGTTGGCCATCTTTCCTCTATGGCCATCTTACCCGAGTTTACCCTACAATGTAAGTGTATACGTACATTAGCTAAATTATTTCATATATAAAACTCAACCACATTTTTACTAATGCATTATAACAAATCGCGCAGATTTTACATTAAACTTATGAAAAAAAGAAAGAAAATAATATGCTACAACTTTTATGCTTTGTCGCCAAAAAAGTTCTTTGCGTGTTCACTAAATGTGTGTCCAAAAAACAAAAAGCGACAAAAGATA